GAGCATTTTGAGCTTTGGAGATGTAAGCAGACTAATGATAAAGGGTTACTTCAACATGTGTGAATGAAACAAAATGCAACTCCAGGTATGTTTTTGAGGATTTAACAACATTCTAACATGACTTAAAGTTCCCAAGAGTCAATTTTGCGTAATATAGGACCTCTAAATTTGAAGATATCCCTTCTTCAGGTTGAACATTTCCTATACACTGAGCTACTCATGGGTTTGCTCCTCACACTAACTTATGACAGGTGCAGATAAAGACATATGGCCTAAAGCAGAGGAGTCAGCACCATCTGTTTGTCCCTGAACGCTCCATGTCTGTAAAGGTGTTTCAACAAAGCTCACGGCCGCTATCAAACTCAACCCTGTGGAGCTCTGCCAACTTACCTGACCACGCTTCGACAAAACTTTACAAAAACAATCTGTATCCTATCTCCCTGATGTCAGAGGGTGTGACTGACAGGCAGATTAACCAAACAGAGAGAAGCATGGCATCAAAAATAAACATGGCTGCTTACATGTAAAAAATTAGAAACCCCCCCCAAAAAAACATCATAAAGAACTGAGAAACAGCGTGGAATTTCTCAGAATCAAAAACCGAGCCATCAAACTAGGGCTGTGGGGCTGTGTCAAAAATTGAAAGATCAATAGATAGATAGATCTATACATTTCCTGATGATAAGGCATGTGCATTTTAATCAAAAGGTCAACAGCCAATCATGTGGCAGTAAGAGCGCGTGGTGCTGACGAGGATTTATACTTTTGTTTGGGAAAAAGTAGCCTGATCCATTGCCTGTCCCCTTCACAAGTTTCTGTTGCTGTTCACAAGTTTTGACTTAAATCTGCACAATTTGACTAAAATTCCAGTCTCTCTCTCCCTCTGCCTCTGTGTGTTTGCAGTTTCCCTTGCTCTGATTCAGCCACAGCTCCTCAACTTTTTTCCTCATTCTCTCATTTGGTGCTTCTCATCTTTATAATCCATTGTTATGGAAATTAACCAACTGTTTTCTCACCGTTTATGAGTGAAACTTAAGTCCTAAGTTAGTGCACTGACATCGCACGTGTTTCTGTTAATAGCGGTAGTACGCATGCACATGTTTCATGGGCTGCTGTATCGATATATCACCAAGAGTATTTTTTGGTATATTTAACCAAGTTATTTTGTTACAGTGCCACAGTTTTGTTGCTTGTTTAAACAAAGGAAACTCATATATGCAACACATTTGACATTTTCACTGTTTTTATGATTAAAATGTCTGTGTTTCATATGAACTTTGTACAAGAAGTGGCTTAACAAAGACTTTTATTATCACAGCCATGATTTAGACTTTATGTTTTATTGAACCATATCGAATCAATTTGAAATATATCGTATCAAATCAAAAGCTCACTGTATCGAGATATGTATCGTATCGTGGCCTGTGTATCGAGGTATGTATCGTATTGGCAACTTCTTAATGATACCCAGCCCTAGTTGGTAGAGCGTTTGTCCACTTAACATCAACATGAAACATCATTGGTTGAGGGGTCAGATCTGCTGACCCACAGATGAATGCTGTCCTTGTGTCTTTGGGCAAGACTCTTAACCCACTTCATCTCCAGTGTCTGTGTATACTGGTGTATGAGTTTGTGTGAATGGAAAAGAGTGACTTTTAAGTGGAAAAGCTGTGTATAAAAATGTGATCATTTACCGTTTGAGAGACACATGCTACAAATTAGCAGCTGTGGTTGGACCGTCTCAAGTTTGGGCGGAGGCTATGGCCTGATTTCAGTGCCGTCTGGACTGGAACAGAATGTAGAAGGGATTGGCTGGTCAGGCAAATCTTTAGCTGCACTTCCTGTTGCCCACTTCATCATTATGCATCAATATTGACGTTGTTCCCATTATAAATCCTCCCCACTGCCACCACTTTGCCAGGAAGAGATGGAATGCAAATTGGGATGCAAATTGGTAAATACTAGTTTGGGCAAGATGGTGCTCTCTTCAAGGCCATCTCTCTCCTCTCTGGGCTTGAGCCACAGATCTAATTGCCATGGCGATGATTTGTGTCCCGGATGCCGGCCGCTGTGTCCATTGTGCGCAGTGGGAGATGTGACTTAGATACCCATGTCAACTGCCTGACCCACAAACATAGAGGGTGCTCCAATCAGAGTATAATCAAGCCACTCATTACACAGTCACAACGCCGAAAACATCAAAGAGGCACCCCGCCGCTCCCCCGCTCTTGTTGTCTAAAAATATTGGATTCCAGGCCGAGACGAGTTTGTTTGAAAAATGATGGAGAAGTGAAAAAGCAAAACATTCACAAATCTTCACATTTTGAACTTCTGATTTGGTCTGACTGATCACAGGACAGATGTGGAGCACTTTTGTATTACCACATGACATCACAAGGTGGAACAGAGTGTTTTCAGTTTGAGAGAAGAACTCAGCCTAAATATGCAAAGTTTGAATGTAAATATAGATCAGAAAATAACATAATATGGACGATTTAAAGATACAGTATGTAACTTTTCCGAAGAAGGGTCCACCAGTTTTTTGTCTCCATGACCATGTTACTGCTTCGTTGGGAATACTTTGTAGTTTGGCATTAAACATATCTATATCCTTGGAGATAGGAGAAGGTGACACCATTTGGTCAAATATTTTTCTCAGTACTTTTAAAAATAAATACAAGATAAATGTGTTTTATTCTGTAGCTGTACTCTTGTTGCCAAAAAAATTGATTCCCGGCCGAGATTATTTTGTTTGAGAAATGATGGAGAAGTGAAAAGTCAAAGCATTTCCAAATCTCTTCATGTTTTTAAGGTCTGACCTGACCTGAATGATCACTGGACAGGTGACAGAGTTTAGTTTACTTAATAACTAGCAAATGTTTTGTTAGCTTTTAAATCTTTTAAATATTTGTACTATTTTCTGTAGAATTAATAACTGGAATGACTCATATTTTTCAGGGAATCTAGTTGAGATTTTTTAATGAGGATCTTTTTATTTGAAGGGTACAATTTTCCAAACATTTGTGCCTCAATTATTAAAAAAAAAAAAATTTAAATTAAATACTAAATATACCAGATGCTAACTAGGACTTCAAAGTTCATTTTAATCATGCTGAAATTACAATTTAAGTTAGTGAATTATCAAATTAGCTGCAACTATTTAGACAGATTTTGAAAAATGCTTGTTGTACCTGTAGTTTAGACATCAACAAATATATTCTGAGATGGGACACTTCACTGCTACTCTTGTTTTAGTCAGTGCTAGTAGTTTACAATGTACACTTTGAACAGAATCCTACTTTTTGAAACATATTGCAAATTTAATCACAATTACGATTTCATTTTATTTTATCTTTAAAAAATTGTACAGCTCTAATCTCAACCCTTTCCCAAATTAAAGTGTAAGTGAAAACCTGTAATCTGATTGGAAGAGATTAAGAAACATAAATGTAATTGTATTATAGAAGTAAAAAGCAAGTGAAAAGCATTGGTTCATTCCCTGTATGCGCATTACATAGAACAACTTAAATTATGTAATATCTGATTAAACAGCTCCACTCGCAATGCATGAAGTCCCACAACAACCCCGCAATTGTCTCTTGGATTATTATTATTTAACTATGTTTCACCGAAGCTAAAAAATACATAACTTTAATAACAATTCAAAGCAGACCAACCTGCTACCTGGGGGCATTTGTTTTTGAGTAGTGCGTCTCTTCTTTCAGGTGTTCCTTTAAACCCAGAACTGAGGATTCCGCTCTTAATAGCCCATTATGCATTCAAAATAGTGTTGATTCACTCGGTGGAGACTAGCCTGCGGCGCTAGGGCTGTTTGTGCGATCCGCGTGTGTTTGCGCAGATGAATGGCTGTAATTATAATCACCCTTTATTATGCTCATAAGAACACACTGTTATAAGGGCTTCCACTTACTTTGTCAGTGCCTTTAAAAGCTATACTATTTATTCTACTTTCCCATCACTTTGTCTTTTTATGCCACAGTGGTGGATGAAGTACTGGTGGATGAAGTAAACATGCACTGTGTAACATTTCTAGTGAATGGTCCGCCACCTGGTTATTGGTTTGTCTAGAATTTTCTACAGTATAGATTAAACCTACCAGATAAGCAGGTTACAGCACTACGCCGCAGATCTGAGTCGTTTCTGTTCACAGAATCAATTATTGTATTTTTGAGCAATAGAAACACAGTAAGGAATCAATGCTAAATGAATATGCTTAATGTCATGCCATGGAACATTCCAGGCAAAGCAGTCATCTCCATGGAGACAATTATGTAGTGAACCCTCCACCAGAAAAGACGTGCAGTGCACCTTTAAGTAAAAGTACCTATACCAGAGCAAAAGAAAAAAAAAACAAAACAAAAAAAAACTCAAGTAAAAGTATCTATTTAAAAATGCACCTAAGAGTAAAAAGTTAAAGTATTTCATGTTCGTATTTAGAGGTCTTATAAATTTCGTGATTTATGAGAAACAGGAACAATTAAATTAACCGTTTTTCGTTTCGTCATTTGTATAGTTTTGTTTGCTCAAATTATGAGTGTGTTAAAAATAAACCATCAGTCTTTTCACCAAGTCTCACACAATCATCAAAAATACTTTTATATTTCAGTTCAGTTAAAGTGGTGTAGAAAGTACAAATAGCTGCCCTCAGATGTTGAAGTAAAAGTAAAAAGATGAACTTCAAAATGTATTTAAGTACGCATACCTAAAATTTATACTTACAGCACTTTACTACTTTTACTTCATTACATTCCACTGCTGCTCCTCCATCTGTGCTATTTTCTTCTAAGATGAGCCTGTGTTACAAACGAATGAAGGACGCACTAAGTACTGTATTTTCAATGAACTTCTATCTCAAAAAAGAAGTGGTGTGAAATTGAACATTTCTTTTGCTTCCCTCTCCTTGTCCCCTCTGATCTACCCATTTCCCTTGCTCTCATCGTTCCCCCGATTTTAACCCTGTTCATTTTGTGTCTCCACAGCTCATTGTCAGACGGTGCAGACGGAGAATGTGACTGTTTTGGAGGGAGCCACAGCCCAGATCTCCTGTCGTCTCCATAACTATGATGGGTCAATAGTGGTCATCCAGAACCCGCGCCGACAGACGCTCTTTTTCAACGGCTCCAGAGGTCAGTTAAACGGCCGGTCAGCTTTTATGGGGAGAAACTCGTCTCGACTGTTTTGTGGCATCGCTATTGGAAACTGAATAATGCACAAAATTAACGAGGTGTACTCCATTGTGTTACCCGCCAGGAATAGATTTTTATTGTTTATGTTTTGACCATTCAACTTCAAATATGGCGTACTACATTGCGCAGTATGTATTGTGCAGTATGTATTCTTGGTTAATCTCATTAAATTCCATATAAATGTTTTATATAGAGAGTATGAGCAACTAAGTTATTATAAACAAGTATACCAATTGTGAAAAACATACATACAAATGATTATACACATACATACAAGAAAACAGACAAACAACAGATAGAGAAACAGAAAGATTACTTAAAATTGGGGTATTTAAATGATTAAATGATTCAGATTGATAATTCTACTACTTTATAAATTAGCTTGTTCATTTGTTAAGTTTTCTATTGATTTAAAATAATAACTTTGATTCTTTGCATTTGAATTGAAATTGTATGGAATATTCCACAGTATGGCTTTAGCTGTCTCCATGGAGTGGTGAAGCAGTTCCAATAAGAATGCATATTTGTCAAACTATTCAAATAAAATACAGTATAATTTAATGCTATACTATGAAACATTCCAGACAAAGTAGTGCTATCTCAGGGGACACTCATCCAGACAGTTACATTGTACCTCTTTAAATATGTTTAAATCTATAATTACAAGAAACATGAACAATATATGACTTTACTGTGTTTTTATTTAGTTTTTTTCATTTGTTCATTAATTATACTTCTTTTTATTTTGTCCTATAAACAACCCAGTCAGTCTCATCTCTTTTCTACCATCATTTGTATTCTGTTACCCTTCACTTACTTGACAAGTTCAAATAAAAATAATAGTGTTTTTCATTCACCAAATCCACACACAAGCTTTTATTGGCCCTTTCCTAAACTGTTGATACCAGATGTTGCTTTTTTGTGTGCTTGGTTGTTAACTCTCTCAGATATGGAGGTAAACAAATAGTAGTTTGGCAGAGACAAATCCTCTCCTAATCTTCTGAGACTAAATACTACCATGTGATGTCAAGTATGTTTTGGAACAGAGCCAGAGTCAGAGTAGAAGTAATGGGGGGGAACGCTGTTGTCTTGTCACAGTGCAACAATGTGATTAAAAAAGCATTAGATGAGCAATAGCAAATACTTGATTATTCATAAAGCGTATGATAGAGATACACCAAATCTGTGCTTAAAAGTTTGACACGCAAAAGAAGGCAAATTATACATGGATTTCACTGTCCCGCAACATTTTGAGGACTTTTCAGAATTCAAAATATTGGATTATTTGTTTGAAATTGTGAATCGCTATGGAAAGGGTTGAAATTTTTCATCATTCTGGGACCCATATTTATATGTTTAAATGTGAAGTGGAGTTTGTGGAGGTTACTTGCAAACACTGTTGGACAAGTTACTTTAAAACTGTAATGCAGTATTTATGACTTGTTACTGTCATTTCACAGTAATTCCTTACATTACAATATTACTGCATTTAAAATGTAAAACATTACATTAATATTGTATTACTTTTAAGTTACTCTCACCAAAATTACTGCGAAGATGCTGAACTTTTGCGCCATATATGGACTGAACCAGGACTAATTCAGGACTGAACTGAGGACTGAACCAGGTCTAAACTAGGACTAAACCAAAACTGAACCAGAGCTGAACCCGGATTGAACCAGGACTAAACCAGAACTAAACCAGAACTAAACCAGAACTGAACCAGGACTAAACCAGAACTAAACCAGAACTGAACCAGGACTAAACCAGGACTGAACCAGGACTAAACCAGGACTGAACCGAGGACTAAACCAGGTCTAAACCAGGACTAAACCAAAACTGAACCAGAGCTGAACCAGGACTGAACCAGGACTGAACCAGGACTGAACCAGGACTAAACCATGACTAAACCAGGACTAAACCAGGACTAAACCAGGACTAAACCAGGACCAAACCAGGACTAATCTTGGACTAGAACTATCGGGCATCAGCTGCGGTTCGCCCCATGGAGTGCGGAGTTCTGTGCCGGTCCTTTCGCCCGCGGTTACCTAACGGTCTACGCGGGCGCACCTCTGGCGTTTCACCGCTGCTGATATCGCGGTGATTTTAGCGAATTTGTATGAAGAAAAACGAAAAACCCACCACTTAAGTCCAGGTTAAAAATGCATTGTAAAGCGCATTACTGACATTTGTACTGAGTAAAATATTACAATTTTTTTTCCCTGTTATGCCTTATATTACTGCGTTACAGCAAAAAGCAATACATTACAGTAATGTTTTACTTTTATAATGCGTTACTCCTAAAACTGCTTGCAAACTTCTCTATAACTCATCTCTACAACTAGTACAACTATTTCTACTATTGCACTAGGAATAGGTATCGACTGAGTCAGTGCACTGCATGATGTGGTAATCCAGATCCCCTCATGGAGTAGTTAAAACCCACAGACTTTCACCACTATTCTGATCATTTCTGTGCTCAAATTGCGTTGAATACAGTGCCAGTCTACTTTGTTATTTACTCACTTCACTCCTCGTCGCACTTGGCTCGCATTTTGGATCAGTGGCTTCCATATTCCAGTTGTAATACTAATTTAATTCTAATGATATCATACCACTCAATGGGAGGGTAATGTTGTATTTTTCAATTTCCAAATTATATTATGAGTCTCTTTTGTAATTATTGACTGAACAGAGAATCCACAAATGTTGAACCTGAACTTGTATCTTCTTGTCTTGGCTAGATTAATGCATAATAAATTATAAATAGTATAATAAAAAGTATTTGTTGCATGAGAACCATATGAAAGCAACTGCCTGGAACAACCCCAGACTGTTTCTCTGTCATAGTTCAACATCAGAGTATAAGAACTGAATAAGTGAATGCCTCTGATAGCTGAAAATGAAACATGCACCTCGCTTATGGTTCAAAACTGGGTCCAGGGCCTTTAAGCTCTACGACATAAAATAGCACATCCTGGGGTCTTTGGAAGTAGTTAAAAAAGCCTGAATAATGCATGATATAAGACCTTAAAGCACAGTCACCATCACCTTTCACCTTTGGCTTTAAAAGCACTTAGAGAGCTTCCTTTAGCTTTGGCACTACCTCTCACAGCTCTAGTCAAACTTTATTATTCCTGGCCTGACGCAGTGTCTTCTGTGATATTCTCTGTGTGGTCTTGCTAGACAAAGTGTGTTTATTCACATGCCCCCGGTGCCATTTAAAAGCAGCCATGGGTGACTCACATCCCACCCACTTTACAATTCTCCCATCGCAAATGTCCTCACTTTGCATTTTAAGCGATTTCACATTAAAAAGTCAGATAACTACTGAGTTAATTTAGGCGATATTTCTAGTCTTTGCCCCAGCAGTGCACCAGCAGAACAACGTTGAAAGCTCAGTTCCCAAACTCTCCCTTCCGCCTTCTCCACTCTTAACCCCTGTGATGAGATCAGTTATTGCGGCTACTCATTAGAAGGGGCCTTGGTATTCGCATGTTTTTTAATGTCAGCTCTGTGGAAAATTATAGTAGTAACGGATAATATAATGGCGTTTCAATGTGAGCCCGAGGCTACGCTAAAGCAACGCATACTTTCTTATAATTAATTAGGGGCAAAGTTGCTACCTTCACTGCAATTTTCTATTTTGTTTTTGCTTCCAGGAAAGCTCTTAGCATGAAACCATTGATCAAGGTTATCCACAGTTTTTAAGATCTGGAAGACTTAATTGCGTTGCTGATACGTTTGTCATCACACAATTAATGCACTGTGTATGGTGGGTGAAGGCATAACTTTAATACTGTTAAAAAGGAGCATTTGTTAGTGGGATGAACAAAACACTACACAAAGCAGTTAGTTCATAAAATTGTAAACACTTAATTGACTCATGTGAGCTTTAAATCATGTTAGATTGTTGTTACCCATCAAAAACATACCTGGAGTTATGTTTTGTTTCATTCACATGTTTGAGTAAACCTTTATTATTAGTCTGTCTATATCTCCAAAGTTCATGATGCTCTGTTCCTCCTTGTGATGTCATATAGTGATAGTTTTTAAGTAAACAGCTAGTGAACCTGGCAATTCCAAGTCTGGAATGATCAAAATTTTTCTAGTAAATGTGTATGGAGATAAAAAAAATTGATCCTGTATCATCACATGCCATCGCAAAGTGGACTGATTTCTGTTTCAGAAAAGGACTAAATAAAAAGTCTAAATATCCAGGGTTTGTGTGTTAAATGTGTGTGAATGAAACAAAACACAACTCCAGGTATGTTTGTGATGAGGAAACATTATGATAGATCAGAAAACAGAAAAAAAAAACTTTTTTTCAAGGATGCTTTGCCAGTATGGAGCTCACACTGACAACGTTTCAGTTAATGACAAGAATCTTGGCTACTAACTACTACTATGTTACAAATACAAAATAATCTTTGGTAACCACAGTAGATTTGAGGCTAGATGCTAATACGTACATTATTACCCATTATAGTACAATGCTTTAAAAAGAAGAATAGAAATGGTAAAAAAAAAAAGGGGACATTGTCATTGTAGACTTCAGGGTAATTCTGAACAATTATATCAATTCAACCAAGTTTTTTTTTTTTTGTTTTTTTTTTTACCAGTAGATGGCAGGGCCTTTGTTGAGACCATATAGACTGTATAAAGAAGTGGTCTAAGGGAGTATGATGTCACCTATAGCGTTTGGGTCCAGTCAAATGCAATTATAGGGGCGAATTTGGAGCTAAGTTCCAAAAAATACTGAAATACAAACTAGTGCTGTCATGCGATTAAAAAAATTGAGAGATTAATTAATTATGATCTGTAATTAATTAATCTAATTAATCTCTTTTTAATCTCACCTAAAAAATTGCTGAGAAAAGCCTTCAATTTGAGGTATTTTCATTTAAATTCATTATTACATTATTGTGGCAGATCAAAAG